CTTTGACATCCCCTTACGACCAAAACCGATTTTCCTTATCACCATTTCCGAGCTTCCGTCTTCGCAAGCTCGGGATTCGGCCTGTTACGTTTAATTGAAAACGCATTACACAGGGTGAGAGTTGCGAGATGAAATTCCAGCTGCGCGGCACGCGTCGTAAGGGGCGTCGCAGGGGGTTGAAATTCGAATGGAGGGTGTGAAAAATTCGGTAAATATTCACCGGCGGGTCTAATTTCTGCCCCGACCCGGCGGGAGTATTCCGGGAGCTTTTCAGCCCCGTCGCCGGGACAGTTCTACCATTTCCCTTTTTTTCTCTCCTTCGTCCCCCGGCTCTGGGTTTTTTCCTCCCTCGGTTTTCGTCGGTGCGCTCTCGCTCTCGCGGCCGCGAATTAAACGGCGTCGCCGAGAGAGCGCGACGCTCGTAATTTTTCGTCGCGACGCCTCCCTCCGTGACTGGGCCCTCTCTTTCCCTCTCGTGGCCTAAACTCTGGCAGCTTGTTATAACGAACTTTCGGAACTAGCCGAGATTTGCATCCCATTACGACGACGCCACCGGGCAAGCGTCGAGGCCGCGAGCAATATCGTCGAGCGGCATTTTAAGGAGCTCCGCGGAGTGCAATTTGCATAAACTAAGCACCTCGCCTGACAAAACTGACTCGACCAGAAACTAATAATAATTCCCGCGTGATAAACAGAATGGCTCGTAATACGCTCTATGGGGACAGAAGCGTCCTTATGACGAGACCCCGTAATGACAATGTTTCCCTCGAACGACCCAAAGTTATGGATTATGGAATAGTTTTGTACCTAAGCTTTCTTCATAACATTTATTTTCCAACGCACAGGGATATTTTTTATTCTCTGCAGGACGAAGTTCCATCGAAGGCGCAGAGTTTTTCGGTAGGGTTTCTGAAGGAAGGAGGGAGGCCTTTTATTTCGGAACAAAATGGCGGAGAAATCGGGAGAGAGAAATGGCTCGAGTAATTTCGGGCTAATTTTGACTTGGAAGGAATCCTCGAGAGCTATTTCGACAAGAGTCGGAGAGTAATTAGGGTGAGATCTCGGCTCTTTGAAAGGATGACAATGCCCGCTTGTCTCCTTGTTCTAAAGACGGATTCTTCTTCGGTAATAAACGTGAAATTCCCCCAAGTGCCAGGAATAAATGGCAAAAACGATACCCGAGTAATCCCGCCCCGTTATCCCGGAATTAAGCACTCGGCGAGATTCCCTTCGGACCGATTAACCGATTTGCAGACTCCACCGAGTCTGAAAATGTGAGACGGCTTTCTGGAAAATCTCTCCGGCCCGAAATTCTAAATTGTGAAAAATGGGGGTCGCCAAGGTGTCACGTCGCTTTTAAGGCTCCCTCCCTCTCGAAACGGCCGTGGAATTCCAAACAGGAAATCTCTCGGAGGAAAACCGATTTTTCGAAATCCCTTTTTCAGACGTGAGGCTGCTGACGAGGGAAAAAATGACTCTAGTAATTTTAGACACGTTTCGAGGCGAGCTTACTCCAGCCTTTTACGGTAGACTTGAGTTGATTTATCGCGGAGGACTCGAGTCGTTAAAAACGTGACAAGTCCTTTTCATCTTGCCATTATAAAAGGGCTGCTTTGTGCTACTCCACGGTTGCTGGCATCCGAACATTCTTAGGACTTTCTTTGGACCGCGAGAAAGTGGTCCACGCGACCATCACCTCCGAGCGTCGACGTTAATTGCTACGCCCTACGAACCGTGTTCCGATATTTTTTTTTTTCCCCTCCAAAGAACGGACGCAAAATCCGAAAAAAGAATTCCACAAAGTCCTCGTTCCGCGATGGACTAACGCGAGAATTTTTCCCCTGGGAAAACTCGAAATCGCTTGGCCGTAAAAAAAAAAAAAAAAAGAAGAAAAAAGGCCGGGCGTTGGGGTAATTTCAGGGTGGCCGGTCCGAGGCGTTCCTGTAATTAAGAGAGTTTGTCATCCGAGTTAAAAAGTCCCGCGAGGAGAGGCGCGATCGTTGATTGGCTCTCGTAATTGGCCCGATTGTCTCTTGGCTCAATTAATTGAATTACTCGTAATTGTTCACCGTGCCCGGTGGCGTTTTTCCTCGCCCTGTCGCTCCGAGATTCCGCCTCGAGCCGGTCTGCAATTTTTTCCGAGCGACGTTACGTAATTTATAATTATTCAGGAGTAACCATTGATAATAGAATCCGGGAAAGTAGCGACGGGGAAAGTTCGACCTCGACTTTTGGGGGTGTTTCGATCCCTCCCACTAATCACGTAATCCCACCTCGGCGTTGTCGGGGAACTCGGGTACTCGCGCCTCCGACTCGGGCGCTTTGGCAGTACAATAAAATCCTTTTTCCAGGGTGCATCATTGTTTAACGCTTGATTGACATTGATCGAGGGCCTCCCTTCTTCCCCGCCGGAAAGTGTCGGGGACACCCCGACAAAGCTGGCTGCTCTTTGACGTCCGCGAGGCGGAGGAGCATTGTTGCGGCCGTGGGTGCCCCGGAGACGAGCGGGCCCGGTGACGCGTGACACGTCCCTGGAGGGCTCGGGGGCTGCTAAATAGAACGCCCATTAGTAACGAATACTGCCAGCGAGAGGGACGGACATATGAGAGATAACCGGGAGCGAGCGAGAACCACCGACAGGCGGAAAGACACCCTCCGACCCACGTGCGAATCGCCAATTTCCCTCGACGCGCAGAGGGTACCCGACTTCACGGACCTCCAAACTGGGAAAGGGGCATTTTTCAAGGGTGACTTTTCAAGTAGAACTTTTGAACTGAAACATTTCATCTGAAACTTCTTTAGCCATAGGGTACCATTCAAAGGTCGCGTAAAACAAAAAGTGGAACCTTGGTAGGGAAACACTCGTTTGGACGAGAAGGCTATTGTCTCCATTTTGATATTACAGTGGTATACGAGAAAAATTATAAAAGTACTGTAAATCAGGATTACAGGGTGTCACTGTATTGGCTCCTACAGAAGTGTCACTTCTGCCGGGTGGTTTTTCGCGTTTCTTGTTTTATTCATCATTTTGTAGGATTTTCTTTTTGGACTCCGGCTCTGCCTAAGAATTTTCCCACCCTTCCATTACCTCCTTTTTCCGCAACCGCGAGCGCGGATGGGTGAGCATCCGCCGTCTCTTCGGGGGGAGAGCACTTCGATGTCTCTTCTTCGCCTTTTTCGGGGGCTCGCCAAAAGCGCGAAGTGTCTCCGAGGCGATCGGGGTGAAGCATCGACGGCATCGAAGGCTTCGAAAGCTCGACTCTGGGGGGAGCGAACGCTCGAGCTATTTTTATGGCACTTAGCCTTCCGAGCAGCAACATGCTGGAGCACTCGAAGAGCACTCCTACGCATTCCGCTACGTTTACGCAACGAGCTCGCCGACCAAGAGCCACTCCACGTTGGCTGCACTGCGAGAACTTCCCGCTCTTTCATATACCCCTTGCCCTCTCCTACTTTCCCGCTCTTTCTCCGTCTTTCTATCGCGTACTCGAGGATTTAATTGCCCGGAGATCCGCTGCTCCGATCGTGGGAGAGAACTTTTTCCTCCTCTTCCTTTTCTCATTTTCAAGAGGACTCGCTCGTAAAGGGATCGTTTTCACCCTCGGCGAAGAGACAGGGACCCCGATAACTCCAAAACGTCAACATTTAAGTCGATAGAAAATTGTAAAAGTTACGCCCGAGCGGCGCCGAGTCTTTTCAATATGGCGGCCGCGTCCTCCTAGCCAGCGGAAGAGTTAACTTTTTTAACAAGTTTTCTCGGGCCCGTCATCGCCGGCGCTGGTTTTCCGTCAAACTTGGAGCAGAAAGAAAGCGACCTGGGGACTCGTCCCGAAGAGATCGCGGAAGATCCCCTGGACGTTGGCGAGTGGACGTCGCATCGTCGACGTCGGGCGTCCTGACGGAAAGGAAGTGGCCCCGCGCGAGTGTTATCGACATCTCGAAATTGCTACGTCCTCTCGACGTCCATTGTCGAATCGCCGAGGTGCTCTTCTCCAGGGCCGCGTGTGCACTTCCGGGGGAAATATCCGGAAGCCTTCGATCGGACCGCCATTGTCTCCTGAAAGGAATGCCTTGATAAAGCTCATCCTTCGGGATAATCCTCGGCTTAAGAACTATCGGGATAAGACCCCGCGCGACTCGGAACTTTAATAATTGAGTAATCCCCGGAAGATTACTCCGAAATACTTAATAACTTGATAATTCATTATCGTGAATAATTGCACCCCCGTGTCGAGGATTAAATGTTCCTTAAATCGTGCCGCGCCGTTAATTTCGTTAATCACGGTCGCGGCTCGTTAAACCGGTAAACGTAATCGATTACTCCGCGATATGGATTCGGCCCGCGATCCGGGATTAATAAATCAGGATAGCTTAATCTCCAAGCACATCGGGACGAATTAAAACGGGAATTAAATGAAAGAGAACGGCAACAACGAGCGATGCACTCGTTCGACTAATGATATCCGCCGTTACGCTCACGCAAAACGCGTAACCGTCGCACTCGTCGTACGCACGCGACAGGAATCGTGTATGACATATCGCGAGACGCACGCGGCGATTCTCGCCTCGCGTGCGACAAGTGTCACGCGATATTGAATAAGTGCGATAATATATCGTTTATCTCCCACCTCAGGAAGCGAGACGGCACGAGTATATTAGTTAATTCAACGTAGAACGTTATATACGAGACAATAAAGTCTCGAGGTGGGGCGAAGGAAACGCAGCGATCGTAGCGCCGCTCGCGACGAACCGCGAAGACGTTCGGTTTGATTAGTCTCGATCGGAAGCGCTCCCTTCAAACGGGTAAAACGTCCATTCCGAGTAATTAGAATATTTGTATATTTATTCAGTTAGCCTTTGGGTAAAAAGTTTTCATTTTAAAACACTTAAGTATATACCAGCCCCGATCGGGTTTATCGTTAAATCGATTTACCCGGAGATTTACGACGCTTCGCATGCTCGAGCTTTTACGCTGATGAATTTTAAGGACTAAATCGGCTTGACGGGGACTTACTAGACTAACCGGTTTTAAAAGTAGCCAAGCCTGATCGCGGGTATTTTTTATTTAGTGCTGGTAATAATGCGAGAATTATCGAGGCATTAATTGCGTTAATAGAGGCGTGAAAATAAATTTCGAATGCCTCTGTAAGGGGACAAAATCGCCCGGATTAGAGGCTCAAGTTCGGTACAAGGATGCAAATTTAATACCCGTTAATGCGCCTCTCACCCGCGCAGATAGCCGAGAGTTTCGAGAGGCACTTTTAACGTTTCTTTTTTTTACCTGGTCGGCACTTTCTCTTTTTGTGCATGTCCTTTGGACGTTATTAGAGTGTCCGAGCGTGCAGCGAATAGGATGCAAATTTGAAGGCCCGTTAAGGCGGCTCTAATGCGCGCGGCGATCCACTAAATGAACAAGCGTCCTAGCTAGGACACGCGTGTAAGTGTCGGCATGATTAAAACAAGTAGGCTAGGTAGCAACGACAAGCCTCTTTTAGCACTTACAAGCATTCATGTCTCCCGAGCATGTCCGCTTTTGCGCTCTCCGGTGGGCCCCGAGCGCGCCCATGTCCATGCTCGAGGAATTGCACCTTCGGGGATGATTAATGCCTGCGAATGATTAAATTAAAGCGTTTAAGACCCGGCTTCCGGGAACACGCGAGACGAGAAGGGGAATTCCTGTAAAGGCGACACACTGATCATTACAGGCCACTTTAAGTGTCGCGGATATTCGACTAACTCGGCCCGGTCGGTGTACAAACTGTTAAGTGGGTTCCAATGCATGTAAGTATATGTAACGAATTATTTTCGGTATACAAGAATATTTTATTCGTTGAAAGTAACAAATATACAATCTTCCAAATGAACCGCGTACGCGTGTATTAACGGATTTTCGTTCGCTTATTAAAATGAATACGGTGCGACGCGCGATCGGTACTTCGATGGCGCCTCCGCGCACCGAGACCATTTTAACGTTACTTGTCAATGCCGACCAAATTATAGAAACGTTAATTGAATACGCAAAACCGGGACTCGACTCTCGAATAATATTCTCCGCAAGTGCGAGCCCCTAACAATTTGTTTAATCGGATGGTAGTGCATTTCCACAGCTCTCGAGTGAATTTCAAAATTCCCGCCGGCGATCGTTCCCTTCGACGAAATGTAAATCCGTGTGTTATGTACAAGGAGCGAAAATCTCTGCTGTTTATAACTCGCGAAAGAGAAATAACGCGTAACAATGTGCGGAAGATGAAGAAAATTCGAGAGTCGAGTTCTTACCTGTAACTTGATTAGAAATTCGTGAGGAAAATGAGCGTAAAAAAAGGAGGTGACGAACGGAGAATTTTGGCACGATTCGAGAAGAGAAATTAATCGGCGGCATTTTGTGCCCCCGTATAACAATCGATCGAGACGGTTCTCGATTATACACGAACGTCGATACATCCTGCATGTTTCTTCTTTTTTTTTTTCCGTACGTATGCATGTATACATATATTTATATAAATATATCCATCTAAACGTATAGTCTCTATGACGTCCTCGACTCGCCGTTAAAAGTCCTCGCGAAGTCGCGGTTACAATAATAGAAAAAAAAAGAAAAAGAGAGAGAAAAACTCCATTCTCTTTTGATTATTCACATTTAACATGTAGGCAGTGTCATTACCAACAAAGTTTAGGATGAGACGGGCTTAAATGCATAGACGGTGTCGGTGTTCGTTTCATCAACGCAGAAAATGTTGATCCAAGAAATGCGCGGCCCGACAGAGCGGAATTATGATATTCGCAAATAACGAAGGAACCATTATAGCACGTTTACTGTTCAAAATGTCGAGAGGAAGTCAGACGGAGAATTCCGGGGGTTGCCTCTTGCCTCGAGTTTGTTTCTTGAGACTCCTAAAATATACGCGTGCTAAGCAGTGCCTCGTAAGTCTTCATTAGAAACAGAAAGCGATGAAAGTTGCGTCGTGCAGGTATGGCACAAGCACGTGTATTTCCAGGGAATATCCGTGTAGGTTTGCAGAAATTAATATCTCGGCGTCTAACTTCCCTCTCGCGTGTGTGTTTTTCGCACGGCGTTTCCATTTTCGTAGCCTCTATGCATAGAACAGACACTCTAAAGTATTCAGTTGAGAGAAACCCGGAGCGACGCTCGGCGGCCATCTTGAACGCGCGTTCCTACCGAGTGCGCGCGCCGGCCATTTCTCCAACCGGTTGGACCGCTTCGCAAAGTGCACTCGATAATCGATTTCCCAACGACGTAAATCTACATCTCTGTACAAACTCTTTTTCTCTTTACGCGAGGAATACACCGGTAGGTTCGAAAGAAAACGAGAAATCGGAATTTCTATCACTCGGCCGAAAACGTCGCGGTTAGGGACGTCAACACGAGTCGCTCCGGGAATCCGGGGTATCAGTACGGTTTCTAACTTCACCATTCGAGGCGTATCGAGACATCGAGGACCCTGAACCTCCCATTTTCACTGAACTCTGGGAGCGCCTTCGTTCGCCTACAACAATCGCGCGGGTAAAACCTCGTTTCTATGTACAAGTATAAAGCAGCGGGACGCTCGAGCGCCGCGCAGGTTTAAGGCAGTGTTTCGGTGTCACCGAGTCGGCCATCTTTTAGTCCGGTGAAAACCCGAGTCGTTAAGCCAGAACTTTCTTTACCTCATCGTCGGGTAAAACCAGGACCAGCGAGCCAACGATTGGGCCAGCCACTCTCCGCCTTAACGATCATAAAATGCACCCTGGGTCGGTGAACCAGATCGGCCATTTTTACCTTAATAAAACCTGGGCTGGTCGACCGGGTCGGCGGACGTTATCCTGGTTAGACCAGGACATCGCCGTTCGGCGACTTTCCGCAAAAGTCCCCTGACGTCCGTTTCGTGGGAACCCATCGAAGCACTTCACCCTCACTAGCGTCACCGAAGTCACTCGGGCATCGTTCATTTTAACTCTCACTGCTCACATTAATTTTAAATTATCACTTGGGCTCGTCGGATGGTCCTTTCTTCCGAGATGCACTTCAGAGCCACGGGCCCAGTTGGGCCTCGAGTATGGTTGCCGCATCGGTCCTGCCCATTACCCTGAGATGGTTCAACAGATCCGTCACTGCCGTGGGTTCCCGGTGCCTGGCTTCCCACAGGTCCAGGATGTGCTCCGTAGGACTCGCCTTCGTCGCGAAGTAGTTGATGTACCTGGAAACAGGCGAGGAAACCCCGAAGATGATCAAGGGATCGCGATTGGGACTCGAATCGAGGTGTTCGAAAGGAGTGAACCCAGGTTCCTTCTCGAGGAACGTCGGAATCGCGGAAAATAAAATCGGACCTACCTGTCGACTTGAAGTCTTTGAGCCAGCATCCTCCAGTCATTCCCGAGGGCGTTAGGAGGGTCCAGACATTGACAGAGCTGCTTTCTGAGGGACCTGGTGAACCGGAAAGGTCTGAGCGTCGTGGAGTCCGTGCTGGTGTTGTTGGCGTGTCCGCTGCTGACAACGGTGACTTCCCTGAGAGGTCTGGTGACGCTGCCAGAAGAGATGAGCTGCTTGGTGCCATCGTAGACGATTCTGAAGACTTGCCTGGCATCCGAGTTCCCCTGGCACACTTGCAGCTTGTAGCTCCTCGTGGCAGAGGATCCGAACCCAGTGTCCAGTCCAAAAGACACGTGTCTTCCGTTCTCCGGACAGTTCCACATGTCCCTGAAGGGAACCTCCTGGCGTTCCGTTGGGGACTTGCTCTGCCACTCGTTGCCGACCTCCTCCAAGCTGACACATAGCGATTCTCCGTTGTCCTGGAATAGCAGGGTGCGGGGCTTGTCCAGGAGGTACCCCCTGACTTGGGACTCCCTGTCTTGGATGGCCTTGGTCGCGGCTTTGGTGTCTTCCACGGTGTAGACCCTGACGCAACCCTGGCCTGCTGGGCTGGCGAACAGTGCTAGCCTGAGCCTTTTCGTCGCCATCGAGTTCTCGCAGCTTTGGCCGGCCAGGACGTAGCTTCTGAGCTGTTCCGTCACTATGAAGGCCTCCGCGTGGTCCAGCTGGGTGAACAACGGCGTGTTGATGGTCTCGTTGCCTAGGGTCAGGACTCGTGACCAGACCACTTGGTCTTTGCTCGGATCATCGGGGTCCAGACTGTCGCTGGCCCACACGGTCAACTCCCAGCTGGCTGGGTGGAGCATCGCGCAGTGCTCGAATTGGAGGATCACTGGTTTGTTGAAGGTTGCCGACGAAGGGCCGCAAGTCACCACCGCGGATAGCTGGGTTATACCCTCTGTGGAGAAGAAGGGGTTACTTCGCGCCCTGCATGTCCGATTTTGATGGCCTAGATCCACCAGATCGAACATCTACACCAGGCAGTTTGGTTTCATGTTTGGTTCTAGGTCCTGGAGTCCCGGCAAATCGATGAACTGTCGAGTAAAAAATCTTTCCACTGACCTGGCAGTCGGGGCCTGAACCTGTCCTCGTTGAGGACGGCTAGGTAGAGCTCCTCCTTCGTCGGCTTAGGAACCGCGCCCTCGGGAACCGACATGGAGATCCCGGATTCCGGGAGCACCAGCAACGCTCCTTTGGCGTTGACGGCTGCGCGAGCTACGTTCCCAGCCTCCAGTTTTGGCAACCGGACGCTCTCAGACGCGACATTGTATGTCGAGTCGGATGAGGGGTACGAGCTGCTGACGCTGTTCTCGCTGTCCGAGCTCACCTGCTTGTCGCTGCAGGACTCTTGGGTGGAGGTGCTGGGGGTCGGGGACATGGGCGACGGTTGGGGTGGGATGGAAAGATGGGGCACGTCGTAATGGTGCTCGGAAAGGGACCTGGACATGGACAGTTTGGGGTCGAAGGGGTACTCGTAGCACGCCGGGACGGTGGTTGCCGTCACGTCCGGCTGCAGACTCAGCTTCTTGTCCTGGTCTGGAAAGAACTCCGGCTGGAACTCTGCAACCCACAAACCACCCGCGACTTGACTTGGACGTCCCGATCCGGCGTTCGCGCTAACGAGGAGTAAGTAATTTCTCATGGGGACATCGTTACGTCACATCGTTAGTGCCTTACCGTTTCTAGCCATGGAGTAGAGGGAATGGTCCCGACCCTTCCGTCGTAGGATCCTCGTCAGGAAAAAGGCCAATCCTCCGATCACCACACAGGCTACCGTCAGGCCTGCGTACAGTGCCACGTCCATTTGGTGGTTGACTGGAAAAGAATGATTTTGGGGACTCAACGAGACGATCCGGCAATCGTGTGGTAACTTTAAGACTCTCGATTACGCTTTTCAAAGTCGAAAGGAACGGTCCCGCACTCGATGTGTGGATTTCCAAGATTTCGACGATTTTTACCATTTCTTCGATTTCTCGAGGTTCCGCTTTACAAGACGCACAATAGACGTCGAAAGCCGAGGGGGATCGATGGGTCCGGTATATCTCGGAGTTACTTTCTTCCCCGCCACGTGAAGACGAAGCCTCGAGATGGATTCGCCGAGTTCGTTTTTCAATTCCGCGATTTCCATGATTCCCACGTCCCTGACGTCTACGGAGGGCGGGGGCCGAACACTTGTTACCCGCCGTCGAGACGGAGCTGGGCGGCCCTTCTTTTACCCGGGGGTGGAAAAAAAGGCCCGATCGATCCAAATTGTATGCTCCGCCGGCTACTTTGCAATTCCACGCGAGAAGTATCGACAACGCGACGAAGCGTCGGCTGGGAAACGAGTGGATCTCCCGACAATTTATTCGACGCGAACCCCGAGAGTTTCGCGACTTCCTTCCCCGTGTTCCACCCCCTTGGTCCCGACCCCGGCGAATCTCCTGCATTTTGCATCCCTTAATTGGCGGGCTCGTCGAATTTCACCGGGACCGAAAACCTGGTCGGGCGAAAACTCCGGGATTCGTTTATCCCCCCGAATAAAAGAAACGTGGAAAAAGCGAAAAGAGGTGGTTCGAAAAAAAATCCACGTTGGCCCGGCACGGAGGTGCGAGAGTTTCGGCCGGGCAATTGAGGGGCCATTTTTACCCGTCACGGGTTAATAGCACTTTTCTCACTTTCCCACATGGCCACCCCTGCGTACCTCGGCCTTTTCGCTCGCTTTAACGGGGGTGCCGATCGCAAAGGTGCACGTGCGGCTCGCCCTCTCTTCTCGAATGGCGGCCTTAAAAATAGCCGGTCGAGCTTCTCCGATAGTTTATCATCGGTTCCCCAAGAATCGAGCCCGTGCCCCGATACTCGGGGTCCTCGTGACGTGTGTCGTAGAATTACCTCGCTACCCCCTAATTGGGCCGATACATCATTTTGACGCGTTTGCCTCTGGGCAAACGAACGACCCCTGAAACTCGCGAAATCTTCTTACGAGCCGGGACCGCGCAACCCCTCAGAGAAAAATGGCTAATTTCGTTCGGTATCAATTTTGAACGAATGGTAAAATCGAGGGTAAAGGTAGAACGACGGGTAGACTGAATTACAAGGCCGCGGAATTGATAGCGCTAATCGCGCGTCCCGGGGAAAAATGGCCGGCGGTTTCCAGCGTTTCCCCCCAAGTGGACGTTCCTTTCTTTCCCATTGAACAGGGTTGGCAACCGCACGCGAAGGTGCAGGGCCGCCCCCGCACCTTGGGCGGCAGCCTTAAAAATAGCCGGCGAGCTTCTCTATATTTTACCGTCGCTTTCACGAGAATCGAGCCTACTTCGACATTCAGGGGGGTTCCCGAGGCGAGCGCCCCTCGCGGTGTGCATAAACGTACGGGCCCACGTACGGCGCACGATAATGCCACTTTATTTGCATGCGCGATCAATTTCCCTCCTCGCGGGGCCGGAGGGGGCCGATTACATAATTTTCTTCAATATTAAACCCACCCCCGGAGGCCTAACCGTATCGCGTGCAACTTTGATGTGGCTCGCTCGATGGAGTTCGCCCCGACCAGTCCAGGGGGTGGTCGGCCCTTTTTCGGATTGCCCTGAGCGGCTCCGCCATTGTTTCAATTGTTTATATCACCGGCAATTAGGGTATCCCCCCTTGGAAAGCGTCAATTATTAAGCGGTGCCCTAATTAAAAGTAAATAGGAGCACCCGTTTAAGGGACGCTCCGCGCCGTCCGGCTGATTTCTCGGGGGAGCTCGATCGCGAGAATTCAAGATGGCCGCTCCCGGGAGTCGGGGCCTCCACCTCCGATTTTCCACCCTGTTTCTCCAGGGTGATACTTTGAGGATGGTCTTTCGTTTTCTACCATTGGAATGTGCGGAAGTGAACGTTTCTCACGGAATCGAGTAATTCTTCGCTGACCCGGTGGATTCGAATTTTGTCGTGCTTGATAGTTTAGTGATATGACGGCTCGTCGTTAAACGAACACGTTTCGTGTTCCGGCACGATGTTTTTCTAGGTTTGCTCAACGGGGTCCTTTGAAATTCATTTGCTGGGCCGAAGGGATGTATTAAAGTTCATAAACGGATCCTTCCATAGAATTCGGCGACCCGAAAGAGGACCCGGTGGTCGGAGGTCGGGTCGTAAGGGGGTCGTTGGAGGTTTATCTTTCAACCGGGAACCCCTCGCCAGGGTAAACGAACCATGGCCAGAGAAGGGCAAGTGCAAATTCGAAGGTTCCCTCGTCCTGCCGAAATCGTCCCTGTCCAACCTCGCGGTAACTTGAGCAGCAACCAAAATAATTGGGCTTGTAAAATTAACGTTTCAATTAATTCCAGTCTCGGGGATTTTTCCAAGGGAATTTTTCCCTCAAATCGAATCGGTCAAACGTCGAACTAGTATTAATACCCCGGTCCAATTTAACAACTTTACACGATTGCACGTAAACTGGGTGGGATCAGTGATCGGGGATAATTTATGCACAAGGTGGAGGCAATTTCTCTGGGCAGGAATTGCGCACCACTGCGAACCCCTCGAAGTTCCTCAGAGCGTAAAAGAAAAGCATGCGAGAGATTCTCAAGACTCACCTTCCTCGGTCAGCTGGGCTCCTCCCATCTTGGCACTGCCAACTGCAAGAACCATTCGAGCGAGATTTACATTTGGCCAGGCAGAGCGGCGAGCGAGGGGTCGGGAGGAAAGGTTGAAGAGGACGAAATAAAAAGGGAGAAAATCGAAGTAAAAGGGAAACCAGGGTCGGGCCTGGTGAAACGGAAACTCACGAGGATCCAGGCCGACGTCGACATGGATACCGATATCGGGGAGATATCGCTAGACACGTGGAACCGGTATCTGGACGCATCTCGAAGTCGAAGGGAAACGAAGGAGCACTCACCGTTGCACATCCCTCCCGTGCAGTTGGCCACACTGATGTCCCGACCGGGGCAGGCCCGGCCTCCATGGCTAGGTGGAGGTTCGTCGCAGGACCTTCTCCTGGTATGAGTGCAGTCGCTTCCGCAGACCGACCACGCCGACCACCTCGACCAGCCACCGTCGACCACTGTGCAACAAGAAACCAAACGACGCCGTTAAAAGTCCGCATTTCATTCCGTGGATCCAGTCTTGGCCGGGCGAGATTGCCCACTCGAACTGGGAAGACCGTCTCACCGAGGTTATTGGTGAACTCCTCCAGGACTCCCGCTGGTCCAGAGTAAGCATGCGATGCAAAAATTCGTCGGAGCATGTTACTCGAGGTCGGAGTTACGAACGAGACGGACGATGGGAGTCTGAGACTTACCTGGGCAGGCAGTGTTGCAGTCCATCTTCTGTTGGGCCGGGCCCAGACAGGGTTGTCCGCCGTTCATGGGCGCCGGGTTCGTGCAGGTCCTCGTCCGCTTCTGTCCGCCCTTTGCGCATCGCGAATGGCACTCGGACCAGGCCGACCAGGAGGACCAACCACCGTTCACTGGATCGAAAACATTTCAGAAAGAATTGGTTATCAGGGAAACCCAACACACAGCTGGAACCTTCTTTGACGTTGGACGTTGGGGCGTCGGGACGTACCGTAGACGGTCAGACTGGCAGGCTCGCTGAGTCGTTTAGCAGCGATGTTTTCCGCCACGCAGGTGTAGTTTGCCTGGTGGCTGAGTTTGGCTTGTCCCAGCAGAAGGTGGCCCTCGCTGGACACCAGCAAAGTGTCGGTGTCCGTGTCCAGGGCGGCCCCATTTCGCAGCCAGTAGACCCTGGGGGGTGGCACCCCTACCGGGGGAAGGCAGCGGATCTCCGTGCCCTGTCCGGCCTCCACGGACACGGAATATGGCGGAGATTCGAACTGCTTCTTCAGGTCTGAAGGGAACCGGAGGGAAAGGCACTCGTGAGGGCCCAGAAACACCAGGAGCAAACCCACCGGACCGGCTCTTCGCGGTTCTGACGGGTCTTAAGTGTCCTCGAGGGTCCCGATCATCTCGGACGAGATCCGGGACGCCCGAGCGGATGCATTAACGTTCCTGCACCGTCATCCCAGCGCTCGGCTCGGTCAACGGATGCCAATCCGCCGTGATAATTACCGGACGACCTTCTCGATTCACGGCCAGGAAGAGCCGGACCAACGAGGTCTCTATGACGCGTATCGAGACCATCGCCTAATCGGCCGTTTCTGCCGGTGATCAGCAAAATGGATCTTGGTCTCGCACCTTTTGCCCCGTTGGACCGGTCAAGACCGATCACGCGATCCGTGCACGGACAAGACCAATGAAAAGCCAAGATCAATTTTGCTCATCAGCAAAAACGACACGTTTTGTGCATCGACTGTTACTTAACGAGGAAAAGTACTCACAGGCGACGTCCACCGTGGCCGGCTGACTCTTGATCTGTCCCGACCCTGACCAGGCGATGCACTCGCACTTGAACTTGTCCTTCCCAAAGTACTCCTCGATCTGATCTCTGGTGACATTGAGTTCGCAATCGACGATCCTAGTCCCGGTGTGTGGATCAACGAAATCTTGCTGCTGGAAACCCTCGATCCTCTCGCCATTGCAGCGGAAGTACACCTCCAGAGCGTGGGCGGCCTTGCACTTCAGGGTGGCTGGTTTGTTCTTGACGACGAACGCATCCAGAGGCTCTGCCAGGAAGACGGGCAGGTATCCGCCACCCTCGGAGATGAGCTCCGTGTCGGTGGCGATGGTAGCCGAGGGCATGTCGTCGTCCTCCTCCAGCAAGTAGGACTCCTCGTCCTCGTTGGCATCCTCGGGTTCTGCAAAGTCAAGACCGTCGGGGAACCTTAAATCCCGATCCAGGATCAAGGGGAGCTCGCCACTAATGGAAAATGTATCCAATTACGTTCGTTTTATTTATCCGCCGTTTAATTCACGAGAGATCGCGTTTCCGGCGGAGATGGGTTATCTGGTAATAAACGAAAAGGGGATCGTTACCGGTTTCATCGGTTCCCGATAATTCAATCAGGGTAAGCGGATGAGCATGTATAAGCCAACGAAGTGACGGCACCCCGACCGTGAACCATCCGGATCAATCGACCCAAGACCCCGGTGGTTTCGCATAAATTGCGCCTATCTCTCGTCGAGAAGAGAAGACAATGAAGAAGCTCCATGGGATCTCGAAAATAAAAGAAGGGCGCCACAAGTGGGTCCGCCATTCCGCACCGTGGAGGAGCCACGGGACCTCATTGAGGCCGTCTCGAGTCGCTATCCGACTAGATCTGTATGAGGCCTCGTTAGCAACATTGGACAACTAGTTAGCAGTTGGTCGTGTCTCTTCTGCAGATACCAGGTCGCCAACTTGTCCCAAATCAGGTTCGGCTGGGATTGTCTGCTCACCCGGTGGGGCAGGCTCCCACCGTGTACGGGATCTTGGAGTGCTCGGGCCACACACGAAGTCTCTTAATTAAGCGAAGTACACGAGAGAGAGAGTTTCAGCGAGAGAGATGGAGAAAGAGGGGCCCGGGTAGAGAGAGATGCGAGTATTTAACAGGCCCAGGACGAAGAGAGGCGGAAAATGGAAAGGGCACACTACGGGAAGGAGAGAGACGCGCCGACCGAGTAGGACCGGCTCGAGTGCCACTTGCTCGGAGACGGAGAAAGACGGACCCGGAAAAAGTCTAGAAAAAGACCGGGACAAGAAGAGCCTTGTTTCCCGAGGTCTTGTTATTTCAGCCGTGCGGACGACGACCGTACGCGTGTCGGAAAGGGGGAAACCTCCGATCGGCAGTCCATCTTTTTGGCGCCACCCCCGAGGAGTGCATCGAGTTACAAAAAAGACTCGTCACCGGATCCCCCCCGGGGGTGGAGGCGACAATGACCGCCCTGTGGTTCGCCGAATATTAAGTCGATTTCTTTTGACTCCGCGGTTTGGCTGACACCCTTTAAAACCTCCAGTCCACCTAACAAAGTAGTGATACGAGGGACTTCAAGCGAGTCAAATGACGCCATCATGAGGAGGTCAGTGGTGGCATGCAAATGCTGAGTAAAGCAGTCGATCAACGATTTTTAGTGGGATCGTTAAGGGGGTTTCGAGGCGATTCACGCCATTAGCGGAGAGAGGGCCGAGTGGGACTAACGAACGTCTTATTCGAGGGTCCAGGAAGGACGGGCGATCAAACGAGGTGAGTCGTTTCGGTCCTTTGCGGCCCGATTCCTGGCGCCTGGTGGAAAAGAGCCGCGCCTCCATTATTCTCCCTGAAGGGGCCTTAATCGCTCCTCGGAGCGGGTAACGAGACTGCCGTCTAATCGCGCCGGCCTTCCGGAGATCGGTCTATCGTCATCGCGGCTAACGAGATGGCACCCGCGATCGCTCTCTCGAAAGTGGATCGAACACCGCGCGGACAATGAACGAGGCCGGTAGGGAGAAATATAGGAGCAAAGAGTCAGCGTGAAGCGTTTGTAAAAAAGGGGCGGCAATTAGCGCGAGCTCCGGCCGAGAAGGAGATGCAGTTAAGTTAAGGAGCCGTGAGAGATGAACAGGCGGCGATAAGATGATCTCGAGGAAAACCGAGAACGGTCTCGAAGAGGGAGGATGAATAGAGGAGGAAACTTCTCGGCTGGTTAACAATTATGTCGGCGTTCGTACTTCTCGAAGTCCCATTTTCTTTTTTTTCCTCTAGGAAGAACCGTCCTACTTGGCGCAATCGCGGTAGTTTTCGAGCGATCAGCTGATCGTCGTCGATTTTTCATACAAAAAGGAAGATTTATTCTTTGACCACTGATCCCGTAAACGGAACTACGCCGGTTTACATGCTAATCCATTTCTCACGTACACTTCTATACCTCGACGTATTAAAAGAGGGGTAATTAAGAGGCTAAGAAGCGAAGCTGTACAATCCGTGATAAGAGAGAACCTCAAAGAAAGCTTAGCAGCGGTCTCAAAGAGGGAAAGTAAATAGAGAAGAAAACAACTCGGCTGGCTGACGAGTACACCGAGGTTTGTCCTTTGGAAGGAATTTTCTTTCTTTTTTTTTTTAGAGGAAATCCGGGATGGTCGTTACGGTTCTCGATGGGCGTACCGTCGTCGGTCCCTAGAAAGAGGGCAAGAGGGCGTCGGAATCGGCGCGAGTCTGGCCTCAAAGGCGAGGGAGAGAGAGAGGGACAATTAGCGCGAGGTCGAGGCGAGAAAGAGAGGTGGTTAAGAGGCTAAGAAGCGAAGATGTACAAGCAGCGATAAGAGAGGATCCCGAGGAAAGCCGAGTGGCCGGGATATATTCCGAGAGGGAGAATGAATAGCGGGAAAGACTTCAAGATGGCGCGGCCGGGGGCACGGGGAGGGCCGCAATTGAAGGGAGGTGCCGTGAAAGCAGAAGATACGAATTATATATACGAATCGTCTGCGGCAGCCGCTCGCTACGTTAAGGCGTGTAATTAAGCGCATAACAGAATCAGATACGACGCCTCGTGCACGCCCCCCGCGGTGGCTCTTCGAACCAGGCGACTCCCTCGGAGATCCCCGATCGGCGAACGGCGCCACGCGAAGCGGCTTTCACCGCCGTTTCCGCCGCAAGAAGCACGCGTTTCTTGAATGCACCTCTTGCACACCTTGGAAGGCAAAAACCCACCCCTGCGCGTCCATCCGACCGACGTGCCGGTACTCGGCGTGTCCTTTTAGTTCCTTATCGCGCGGTGGCGCCACTTTCAAAAGCAGCGCCGATCGATCGATCGACGGCCGTCGCTCGCACCGGCTCGTGGCACTTCGAAACTAGTTCCAGGGTATGCCGATACCGGTACCGAACGAACCACTTACTCCGACGTTCAATTTCCAGCTCCTGCAGATGCACTTATCGTTAAGTTCGAGCGCTGTCGGAAGTCCGCGGCCATCTTGGTTTCCGAAGGGGCTCCCCGTTAGCGCTCAGTCGAGGACGTCACCGGTCGCGAGGGCACGCGTTGCGAAAGCTTTCGCCTCGCAAGCACTCGAACCGATCCCGGCTTCTTTTTCTTTCCTCGGCCGACTTCGGCCCGCCTCGTGGAAGGAGCACGACGACCCCGAGTGACCCCGCGATTCCCAGGACGGCGTCTCACCCCCGGCGGGAGTTTTAACAATAACGCTCGCTCGTATAAGAAACCCGCCCGGTCGGCTTCCTCGCGTTTGATTTACGATAATTAAAGCTGACCCGACCTTTCGTCGCGGAGTCGCGCACGACTCCGCGGCTTCGCGGAACCCGCGAGAGGCGACGCCGAGAGGAGATAGGCCGACGCCCGATGATTGCGTCCCCGAAGGAGGGGGAGGAAAAGGAAGAAGTACCTCGAGAGTCGTTGCGAAAGTCGGGAAAAGTGCGCCGAGTCGTTCCGTCGGGCACTCTTCGTATTAGAAATCAGTGGGATCGAGCTTTTCTCGTCGATATTCCTCTTGGGTACCGCGACGACGCCGGGTAATATCGGCTCCGTTCGCCAGGCGGCGCCTCGGCGCGTGATTACAGGCTACCTCGAGGAAAACTTAAACAACGGTAATTTCCCGGGTGGAATGGCGCTTTAAGGTGTTACGAAAGTGGCGTCAAAGAGGTCTCGTTTATGAAACTTTCCTCCAAACCGGGCGCGCCGAATCCTCTCGCACTCTACAACGTGAGAATAGAGGCTATGACGAAGGACCTTACACCCGTGAAATTTCAATTTTCCAAAATTTGTTTATAGACATTTAAACAATTTTTATGAATAATAAAATTTCACGGGGGTTTGGGCCTTTCTTATAGCCTCCATATTTACGTTGTAAAGCCTGAAACGCCGCGTAATACCGACTCCGTCCGTCAGGCGGCGCCACGGCACGCGATTACAGGCTACCACGAGGAAAACTTAAACAACGATGATTTCCCGGGAAAAAAATCCCGCTTTAAATCACCGTGTCGGCCCATTCAGGCGTGCATTATCAATAAACCTGCGGCCGTATACCTTCTAATTAGCCCTAATCAATCGCGTCGTCCGGGAGGAGGCGAGTCGCCTCGATTATTCCGCGGCGCCGCGACGGCCGTAATGGAGGAAACGCGGCGACGCGCGCTAACCGACGCGAGGACCGCGCGTCCCATCGGGCCAAGCTCTATCATTAAGTAATCTCCGAAGCCGAGCAGCGGCTCGAAGAGGAAAATAACGAGACAAAGAGATAAAAATGGCCCCGAAGTTGCATCATCGCCCGTCGCCGGAAGGGATGCGCTCACATCGGCGCCATCTTTTTTTCATTTCCATCGGCCCCCGAGAGAGCGGTGCATCGAGAGGGCGCACCGTCATCCGTCACTCGTGCACGACAATAATTAGTCCTCTCGGCCGTGCGTGCACCACCTCTTGGATGCCGCTTAAAACCACCTCCGGCTAGTGTAATCCATCATCGAAACGTTAGTAGGTAACCGGTCGAGCGAGCGCCGCTAATCAGCGAGTCGACTCCTGCGACTAACTTTACGGATAATTACCCTCCTCCTTGGCTCCGTTTACTCGCCTGCGAGTGCGCTATGGGTGCGCCGATCTATGCTGATTCACGGAGATTCCAGACTTATCCGACACACCGAACGACGAACAATGATCGAGGACGATTCTTACGAAATGAACTTCGAGAACGAGGGAGAGCAGAATCGGTGACTGGGGAATCGTGGTTCGCTCTTGAACCTTTTGTGATACTTAAACCAGCGAGGTTTAAGTATCAATGATTTGCGATATGCGTAATATCGATGTACTCATCCGACACGCTAAATTATGAACAACGACCGAAGACGATTCTTACGAAATGAACTTCGAGAACGAGGGAGAGCAAAATCGGTGACTGGGGATCTATGATTCGCTCTTGAACATTTTGTGATAGTTAAACCAGCGAGGTTTAAGAATCAATGATTTGTAATATGCCTAATATCGATGTACTCATCCGACGCCCTGAATGATGAACAACGACCGATAAACGAGATGACGATCGGGGAGATTTGAATGCAGGGTTGTAATGAGCGATCGACGCCGCCTTTGCGCTATGTCGGACTAGCGAGTGCACCAGATATAGTTAGTACTCGCGACTTCCAATTAGGAGTACCGGAAGTATCGGATGACCCGAGACCGGTGGTATGCCCTCGAATAAGAGGTAACGAACCCTCAAGGCTTTCCCAGCCAGCTAATTTATGTGACTAACGCGATGTATTTTCGAACAAGACTCAATTTTCTCGTTTCTCCACCCCGTAGGAGTACGAGCTCGCGAGCGATGCGAGATTGCAAGCGATGGGCTGTTCACTCGAAAATCGGTGAAAATTTTTTTAATTTTTCTTCCCCAAGAACCGATAGACACAATATAAAACAATATGCGATTCGATAACAAGTAACGTTCGGTCTTAAAATCCTGGAAAAGTATCGGCGATTTCCCCGTGCTTTTGAATTTTGAAATCCATAGGTTCATCGAGGTACAGGAGGACGGGGTCCGGTATCTTGCCCAACGCTTATCAAAAATCTCTGTCCGACCTTAATTGGAGCACTGGGCCAGTGGAGTCAATTTCTACACGTGCACTTACCAGGTGATCCTGCCGAACGAGTCTACGTGCACGACCACCAGACACAGCGGGTACACTGGAGGCTTCCAATTAGGAGTACCGGAAGTATCGAGTGACTCGGGACCGGTGGGGCGCCCTCGAATACGGCGAATGCGAGCTAACGAACTTTTAAGAATCCCCGCCGAACCGGCCGACCGATAATGAGATGCTAATCGAGTCGTGAGACCGTTCGCCAAAAATCTCTCCGGCGTCCCGGACCCTCCACCGCCGCACGCGTGACCCGAGACGGGAATCGGCGAGCCTCGACTCCGCCTCGCGAGATACTCGCCATCGAAATTATGCGAACGACTCGTTACCCCATGGAACCCGAAAACACTCATATCATGTCCCCCCGGACCCTCCTGCCTAAAAATCACGTTCCAGCTCCCAACTTCGCGCCCTAAAGTCGGAATTCTCCCGCGTTGCGTTCGCGTTCTTCTTCCTGGGCAGGAAAAAAAAAAAGAAAAATTCCCTCCCGCGGCCCAATTAAAAATGCCGGCTCGAAATTAGCACCTTTACGAATCAAAGCCTTCCGAATCCGGAGATCAAGCTGGCGTCGTTAAGAGCTCGTTATGGCAACGGCACGAGTTAAATGGCAAACTTAACGACCTACGCCCTCCCGCTCTTCTGCTCGCTACCGAAGGACCCTGTACCTGGCTCCCTCTCTTTCCCTCTGCGACCCATAACTCACTCTCCCTCCTTCTTCCCCGTAATCCCGGTGTGCATTTATGCGACAAGTACTCGCGCTCGGTGCGCCACGTCGGAATAGCGTCTTCGCTTACCCTCGTCGGAGGTGAAGGGACGGACCAATCCTGGCAGCACGATGTACAACAGCAGCAGGAACGAGCACGATCGCAGCCTCATTGCGACGCTGTGCACCGGGTCATTCGGCCATCTTAAGTCCTCGAAGTGGGCTCGATGAAGTTCCTGCCGGGAAGAATGGCACCTTCTTCTGCGATCTATGGACCTCTCGGGACTTCGCGGATCCTGGAACACGAACGGTGGGAATCGTTAATGAGTGTCTCCATCAACGAGCGGGAAGATTCCATAATTTCAGAATTCAGGAGGAGGAACGATTGGCTCAACATATATGTGTAAAAAATTGAAGTTCCTCCTTTTTTAAAGTCTGTGAGAATTTTTTCACATTTTCTCTAATCTTTCCATGTAATAGAGCTAATGTTGAAGAGTCGAGTAAATCGACGAGATACTCTGGGACAGTTTTTACTTGTAAGAGCACTTCCTTGGCAAAGTGGCAAATCCAACTGGTGGCTTAACTTAATGTGTACGTCTCGAGGTTAGGAGTACGGTTTCGACACTCGATATACATCCTCGGAGTGTCGGAGACTCCGGACGATTAAGATATCAGGCATTCCGGCAAGTGGCGCTAATCGAGCCCGACTCCATTCCGGTAACCGATAGACGGTGAACCTGAGTTATGTCCACGACCAGCCATAAGACCTCGTCTCCTGGAAGGACCTGGATGGAGTCACCTCCGAAATATCGCGTTTCCGAAATCTCATGGGGCCCTAATTCATGCGATGTCCTAAGAAGCCGCTCGTTCTTGGAAGCGAGAATGTTAATGGCACAGGTTTAGTGGAGGCGCCATTTGCACGGAGACCAGAAGAGAACCAGTTGAGTGGTTGGAAAGCCGTTCGGTGGATTTCTAATTTACGAATCCGATTTCGACCCAGTCCACGAGCCGATCGATTTCGATACCCGAAATCAGTAACAAGGATCTACGAGGACTTAATGATCGAAGGATCATCCGAGCGCTCGTCGGACCTGGAGGAGCTGGCGGATCGGGTGATCATTTGTCTTCGGGATCCCAGGGGGATCCTGCTGTAGCCGACACTCCATACTTGGCATCGAACTGGGTTATAAAGACTGGCAACGGATAGGCCAATAACCATCATGCCTCCATTGTAATACATTAAGAAATTCCTATAGGAAGATGAACTTTATGCCCTCTAAGAGCTGACCGCTCGGCGATCATCCGTCACGATCCTCGAGACCCGGAGATATACCTCGGCACATTGCAGGTGAAATCGATCTGGGTCATTCTGGCCAGGTCGTCATTACAAAAGATTGCGCAACTCGGAGAGAAAATAAAAATAAAAATGAAAGAACTTCGTAGAGACGCTAAGCGAGCATCGACGAGAAAGTCGGAGATCTCTTTCCGTAATCCTTCCAAATGGAATCGAGTCGGCTTCGTCACAGAGATTACGGCCGTTCGAATCGCCGGCACAATAATTCCCATGATTCAATAAATGTAAAAGAGCCACCAGGAGTTGCGGAGTGCATAATCCTAAATCCTCTCCACTCTGATGGAGAGCGCGGGACAAAGCGTGTAACTAGGACATAGGACACTGGATTCAGATCCGTCATTAGTGGTCCTTTCGTCGTTTCAATACGCCGCCATTATCTCGTTTTGACGATAATACCGTGGAAAAGGACACTCGCTACGATTCCAAAATTCGAGTCGAAGCCGGAATTCAGCTCGAAGCCCACGACCGTGCTGATGGAAGCTGGGTAATGAAGATGAAGAATATCCAGCTTAACCAAAGACCTCTGGGTCGAAAAAAAACGTTCCACCCTAAGCCCACCATCGATCTAGCGCTCCCAGAGTGGAGGAGGAGTTCCTAGGGATATCTCGAGAAACGAGGAAGGAAATGGAGGGCATCGGCAAGAGATTTCCATCGGGAATCCCGCCTGGCGTCCAGGACCCTTCCGAGGACCTATGGGTCCAGGACGTGTAAAACTCGACACAGATTTCCCATCGAGCTCGCCGCTAATCCGAGCCGAGGACTCAATTTATAAACGGACCGCCGGTATTACCCACTCAAAGGCTTAAAATACTCCCGACAGCCAGCGCCATTGTGCCCGACAACGGACACATGGCATTTCACAGCGCAGCAGCTCCGAATGCGCCAACTCCGGCAAACCGAATTCGAATCTAATCTGTAGGCCAAAAAGCCGAGGGAACCGAACCGCACCGACATCCTGCCGATGTCCTGGACTCCCGGGAAGCAACCCACGGGATTCCGGACTCCTTCGGGAGTCCCTCGCGGGATAATCCGGGATGACGGAGCCTTTGAAACTCCTATCCGAGACGTCAGATTTCGGTCGGCGATACGGAATTGTCAACGGGACGATGATCCGAAAGATCATCAAGAGGTGTTCCCGAAAATTCAAGGGAAAAGCGATGATCCCGTCGATGGAAACCCCTTTTTCACTCGCCCTATATACGTTGACCGTATATTAATATCGAGGATTAGGGCTCCCTCCTCGTGGCCGCGACACATGGCCTCTTACGCTGCAGTTGCTCCGAATGCTGAGCCCCTGGAAGCTTCGCCCCGAATTCGTCGAGAGACGCGGCTTTTTGGCTTCCCCGCTGACATTTCGAGATCTCCTGAAGAGTTTCCCGCAGGACCCGGGACTCCTCTCGTGGAATAATCCCGAATGGAGGGCGAGGGACCTCCTAGGGGGAGCAAAACGGCCTCCAGACGCGCGCGCTTCCGTCAGCGTGTCGCGGGCACGCGTGAAATCGGTTTTTTTTTGTCATTTAGAACATACCAACCCGGGAAGAGCGGGGCTCGATGATCTTTTTATCGCACTTGGGACTATTAACGAGACCGTAATTTAACTCCCCCTGGTTTGGGACTTGGGACAATAAACACTTTTTCTGGGAGGGGACCGTGGAGAGGTCGGAAGAAGGCTTTGAAAATATTTTCTAAATGCAGTTTCTTCTACTAGGGGAGGAGGGGAATATCGGTGGCTGTTTTTTAGATATCGGAAGGAGCTCGTGATAAATTTGCGCAAAGTGAAGGCGCACGCGACGTGTGAAATCTACATTAGAGCGAGTCCGACCAGTCCCTTCCGAGCTCGTCTCTTTTCATCGGTAATCCGAGAAGATTACGGGTCGAAATAAACATGTCAGCCCCGTGGAGATGTGGGCTGGAGGACTTTACGAGGCCCAGATCGCGGTCTACACTTGGCAGATGAAGATTCCGTAGATACGCGTCTTCTGGGCAGCCTCTTCGGGGTCCAGATGCGAGCAGATGCTATTCGTGGGTCTCGCGGTCTCACGCGCGAGCTATCTCCGACCCATCTAGGTGCGAGATCCCTCCCCCGAGATACCGGTCTCTCGAATTTAATGCACGTCCTGGGACCCCTCGTTTTTTTTTCCCCCCCAACTTTCCTCCTTTTCCGGCTACTTTTTCCGACCCCCTCGCTGCCACCTGCTTCCGCGTACCTCGACTTTCCCGGGGAGTCGAAAAACTTAGGCTGGCCCAGCTGGAGTTCTCTCCTGCCGAGAAGAGAACAGCTCTCGTGTTCCTTTTGTGCTCTCGATCTCGGGCCCCATTTCCCAAGCCGTCCGAAAATTATGCCTGGCCCATTTGGGCCTTCTACAAATTTCTTTAGGGCCCTTTTTCGAGAGATTCATGTAGCACATCCGGAGTTGGCTTCCAGCTCGAACCGTAAGCGAGGACTTTTTAATTCGATATGGGATTCAAATTCAACGCGCGAGTTTCTCGAAATAGTATGTCGTGACTTTGGGAAAAAGGATGACGATCAAAGTTTATCACTCCGGGCCTTGGGCCCCTAACAATTCACGAAACAGTATTTACTGCGCCGCGTCTCCGGCCCATAAACCCTGAAGATGTATCTGACTTTAGAGCGAGAGAGACGGCACGAGGCTCCGCCATTTCCACGCAGGGAGATTGGGCCTTTCTTCCCACGATGGCCTTGAGGACCATAAATCGAGGGGCCCGACATGGAGTGGGTGAAAAATCTGCGCCTCTCGAGAGCTTCCGAATCGACACTCGAAAATCGTTACACGGAAAGGTACAAGCTCGTCGGAGCGTGAATCGGCGAATCGACACGGGCCCTTTGTGGGGCCCTAGGGCCCCGGGATATTTTCTCACGGGCCCCATCCAGATCGCAGATGGAACCTTGCGCGTGCCAGGTGGACGGGCCCCGTGAAAATCGGACCCAGCTCCGTTTCTAAGCCCCTAGAAGCCTCGGGCCCCGATTTCGCTGACTTCTTAGGATCTGGGCCTCAATGGGCCCGAGAGTCACCGGATACTCGGCCCTTCGGCATCCTCAATGGATGCTGAAAAACGAAACCACCGGCCGAGGGCTTGGCTCGGCTTGTGGCGCGGATTTCCACGTAACGAGCGCACACGACTTTGCGTGCCACGCCACCACTCGGACACGGCAAGGTGTGGCGATCAGGTGGAACTTCTTTCACGCCAAGTTATTACTCAAGGGGATTTCTTTGTACCTAGGAATACCGATTTCTCTAATAACCGAGTACGCGGTATCGCGTGATGTTTTCGGGGGGAAAGTGCGGCGATTAGGGGGAAATTCTACAACTTCTCGGGAGGAACGAAGGAACCGCTGCACCCAGGAGTCAGCCAACTTAGAGTCGACTTGTACGAAGGTGCCGGTCTGGCTGACGAGGTGGAGGAACGATATTAAAAAGCCGTTTTGGCGGGGAGCGCGCTTCTTAGGTTAGATTTCGAGATCCCGGCTGGGGAGGTATCAACAGGTGTCTGTTGGCGTATCGAGTCCGTGGATGGTAATCCGGAGATCTGGCATGGAATCATCGTTTTTGGAATGTAAACACCTTCGCACTCGTCAGGGGAAGAGGGCCCGAAAACTGGTGCCGCCACGCCCAGCGACCTCGCGCGCTGCGGTCAGAAACGCCTCGGGTGGACTCCACTTTTCGTGGTAACCACCCACCGTGGAGAAAAAAGTTTCGGACAAAAGATGTCGAGGGTATTGTTCCCTACAAACTTCGTGGGGAATGTTTTTCTCTGCGGTGCATCGTTGAACAGGAAACTGGTATCGTCGGGTCGCGCCGGCGATGTTCGGCCGGGGCCGGTGCGTGTCTCGATTCGGCCCGATTACAACGTTTCGGCCTCGTGGCCGGTTCTTCCGCATGTTAATGAGGGGAAATGACTCAGACTCGGGAGTGACTCTTAGAGGGCTCGAACGAGAGCACGTCACTCCTAAGTCGCAGCATCGGCTTCGCATCCCCATCACGTCCGACGTGTTTCCTGACCGGGCTCGACTTCGCGCGTTGTGTTCCTGCCACGGGGCGCGTGTTCGCACGTCAATCAATTTAATCCCGGGCACGAGTCCCCGTGTCGGGATTTCTATCCTCGGAATCCCCCTGCCGGATCTGGCGGGGAAAGAAAAAAAAAACGAGACAGAGAGAGGAAAAGAAAAAAAAAATAGAAAAACCAACAACCAGCCTCATCAACCTGCGCTCCCTTGAGTCACGTCCGAACGATTTCCTCGATTAATTTCTTTTAGGAGACGACAACATAGTTTGCGAAAAAGAAATAACCGACTTTCAGATTTCCCCCAGAAGCACGCTTGGCTCCTTCGCCATTTCAGCCCAGGGCCTGAACCCAGGGAATAAAATTAACAAAGTTCCTAGGAGTCCCCAGACCGCGAGGACGTCCGTCATCCCGAGAGGCGGATTGAAATTAACAGCTATTACTGGCCAGGGAGCGTTAAACGGAGAAAAGGTGGAGGAGAGGGCGAGTAAAAACCCGGAGGCATTATTCTCGAGCTGGAAAGGTCCCTGGGGAAATTGTAAAAGTCTCCAGAAGTCTGGCATCGGTCGAGCTCTCTACGTGGGCATTCGCATCACGTGCAGGACACACTTCCTGCGTGTTGTCTGGACTTCTCTTTGGGCCGTTCGATGAGAATCCTCGAGAAATGTATATACGAGACGTCCAATGGAAGATAGGTTCCTCCTTATGACTGGCCCCTCTATGCGCCTCGCATATTCGCCGAGGCTGACAACTTCCGGGCCCGACGATTTCGCGAGAATCGATTACTGCATGCGAAAGTACCCCGAGTGGGATTGAAATTGAAAGAAAAAAAAAATCTCTCCAAGCCTTTGCAATTTTCTTTGCCTGGAAGGACGAGTGAAGCTTTCGCGAAGAGAGAGAAAAAAAATACAATCTTGTTAATTTTGACTCTACTCTCGAGATCCACGTCGCAGGCGAGGCCGTCGTCTTTAATTTCTGGACACGACAGGAAGGAATTACTCATTTAGCTCGTAGTTACAGCCGGGGATTGTTTCTCCGTGACGGCCGCTACGTGGATTTCCGAAATTAAGAACGACATAAAGGCAGCCCGCTTTCCCAGAGAGTCCCGGCATTAACCTTTGATCCCGACAAAAATTCCAACGAGCGGACAACTCGTTTAAAACGTCGGTTACTCCATCAAAATTACGTCACGACGTCGGAGGGAAAGAGAGATCTCGGATCCAGGAATATAATGGCCTCTCGCGCTGCCGAGGGAGAAGGACGGAGAGAGGGATAGAGAGAGGAGGGAATTTCTTTCGCAACGTCGTGAGGCACCGTCATGCAAAATCTCATCACGGAAATCCTCTTTAATGCAGAACCATTAAAGCGAGATCGAGAATGCGATTACCGGAAGCGCCCTTTACGGGATTTATCGGGATTTTTCCCCGTTTTCGGAGTCGGCAAATCTTTCCTAACCTCAACCTGCCGGAAGAATGCCTCGTTTTTCTAATCTACCGTGGGAATTTCCTCCCGGGGAGGTTTAGGACGTCTTATTTGGGGGAATCATTTTCCTCCAGGTCCTCGGTCGGAATCGCATTATGCGTAATCCCCTTTAATCCGGCAGCCATTAAAGGGAAATCAGGAATTTAATTATCGAAAACGTTCGGACGGCCGTGTGCAGATTTTCGATTCTCCGGGAGTCCCGACGAGGGGGGAAAACCGTGGGCGGGAAATCGAAATTTCCCGCGTGCCCAAGGTAAATAGCGGGCCGAAGGTGTTTCATTAAATTTAAATCCTGCCGCCTGTCAATCGGAGCCCCGGTAAAAGACTAAATATTTACGCGTTCGATTATACGCGATAGGCCCAGGATCTGCGCGAGCTCGATTTGCATTAATAATTTTTATGCAAATATCCTCAGCCGCGCGGCGCGGCAAATATCGCGTTAAAACGCCGTCGCTCTTACAAAGCGACGGATTGCATGCGCGCGTTAAACCGTGGTTAAATTAATAACATTTAAAATCGAGAAGCGAGAGGGATACAAAATTCGATGAGGGATTCTCGCTGGTTTGCGTTCTCGTCCCGGTTGGGGATTCCTCTTAATCCGAAGAAAAAACAAAAAAGCTACAAGGGGTGGTTCTCGCTTCTATGTAAAATCGAGGATCTATGGTTATGGAGAACGACGTAATCCCTTAAGTGCTTGCGACCGCGGACCGCAAACGCTGCACCATTGCATCCATAAATCAGGAAAGTCTTCCCTGGTCCCCGGGTGTGATTTAAATCGGCCCGCAAGAAAGTAATGGCGATTTTCGGGGGAAAAAAAAAAGAAGAAAAGTCGAATCGACTTTTACAATCTACTACTCTCCGGCGTTTCTAACACATTCGGGCCTGGATTTACCTCGAACTCCGGGATGAACACCGAGGCGATTTTCATTTGAAAAGCTCTCCAAAGATTTCCGAAGAAATTCAAGATCTTCCACCCAAACGACAGCTTCCTCCCAGGTGTACATTGATATTGTGTACACTGAATACTCGGGGTATTATCCAAGTGCGTTTGCCCTCTCATGCAGGCTTTATCGCACAATAGTTCATTACACCGAAGACTGACGCCGTGTTGCATGTGACTTTCAGCAACTCAGCGAGTGGAATATGCATCTAGCACGCCTTCAACGAAGAACGTCTCGCTCGCGATTGTGCGTTCAATGAGCCACCTCGATCGCGCACATATCGAGAGATTAATTTCATTGAGAAATAAACATTATCCCGGTAATTTTCTCGGCATTTAACGGCGAGTGTAAAATATGCATCTAGCACGTTTCCAACGAAAAATGTATTTTTCCCCCCTCGCAATAGCGCGTTTAACGAGTCACCTCGAGTGAGCACATCGAGAGGTTAATTTCAACGGGGAATAAAAATTATCCTCGCAATTATATCGACGTTTTAGGGTGGCTCTAAAATCTGCATCTGGCACGTCTTCAACGAGAAACCTTTTTCCGCTCGCAATTGCGCGTTTAATAAACCACCTGGATTACGCACATATCGGGAGATTAATCTAATCCAGAAGTAAAAATCATCCCGGCAGTTTAATCGACATTTCAGGGTGGCTGTAAAATATGCATCTACTTTTTAACGAGAAATTTTATTCCGCTCGCAATTGCGCACTCAATGAACCACCTCGATCGAGCACATATTGAGAGATCAATCTCGTCTAGAGGTGAAAATAAAATCCCGGCAATTTTCTCAGCATTTTAGGGCGGCTGTAAAATCAATGTGCGAACGTTGTAGGGCCAATTCGCGGACGAGGGGACCAGTGGAGGCGCCAAGAAGAAAACGTTGTCGAGGTCAGTGTCCATTAGCGGTGGCTCTTTAATCCCGATGCATTAGCACTCGCATGCGAATAGTTGATTACGGCTAATCGCAAAGTAGTGCGCCGCGGCGCCTGGCGTCGGCGGTCTCGGACCACACGGGGTGTGCTTATTTTCGAAACACCGTACCAACTCCACACATATCGTGGTTTCCCCGGAAATTCTTCTAAAGGAGTGCTCTAAAAAATAAATATGCTAAATAAAACATATTATCCGTCTCACCGTGGAGCGCGTACTACCGGGTGCCAGTATCCATGAGGGAAGGGGATGGTCCAGGATTTTCCAAAACCACGAGTCACTTAATCCATGCACAATATCACTTGCAATTGCCAAACATAGCACCTCCCCTCACACCGGCTGGAAAATATCACCCGCCGATTTTCCCAACTTATCCCCTTATCAAGGGTGATTTTCTTTCAAGCTATCCCATTAACAGTGTCCGGCTCAATTACCACGAATCATCCCCGCGGTCATGTATAATTCTAATTTTCATTTTATTTGGGATTATAGATGTTCGATAGTGAACTTTTCGTTATCTAGTTAGGTGGAGGTACGTGCGATAGGAACGCAGGGGGCATCGCGACGCACGAGGTCACCTGGCCGGACCGCGGAAAACCCACGTGTCGTTTGCGCGGGGAGCCGATAAGAGCGGCGGTGCTTATCGAGGACAGGCCCGGGGACAGGGAACCTCCGCGACGTCGCGACGCTCGCGGCTCATGTCGGCCAACTGGCTCGTCGGAAAAGCGACGCCTCTGGGGCGCCGGGCTCGAGATGCGGTGGAGGTGGTATCACTGGTGGTGGGGTGCGGCTGGTGGGAGCGCGTCGGGGTGGGGGGCGCGTCGTGGCGCTGGACCCGCGGGGATGCTGCGACGCGGAGACGCTCGGCGTCGCTCGAGCGGCGAGGAGGGGTTCGAAGGTACGGTCGACGATTAAAAATTATGCAACCACGAGAAATTCATTGTAATTCCAGGATACTTTATTTCAAAGGAGCCCTGGTAATTATTTTGTCTAATGAACAACTCAGACCGCGGCGGATTAAAATCTTTAACCATAGTAATTGTCCGTGACATCTAGCTTCCGGGAGGAAAATCATTCTAAGTAGGGTTGACGATTGGAAATTAAGTAATTGCGCAAGTTAAAGAAACGAATGCGTAATTTTGAAGGAATCGCGATAATGGATTGGGATATTGATAATTAAGCAACGGCATCAAATTGCTCGAAATACCGGGATACATTATTTGAAAGGAACTTCGGTAATGAGCTGCGATCTCGAGCCACGGTGACGAGAGAAAAATGATTCCAAGTAGGTGCCCTTATCTAAATCAAAGTTGATAATGAGGCGAGGAAAGCGCCGAGAAGAAAAATGGAGCAGCTGACGTTGATGAATATTTAAAAGAAGAGGATCATGGAAAGGGGGCCTGATCGAGGCCCCAATGATAAGGCGAAATCTCCGGAGGCATTTATCGCTGGATGACAATTCCTTGTTCGGTAACGACTCTCCTCGGGCCCATTCGTCGCGGGCCCCTTGAAGCCGTTTCTTGGGCCCGATTTCTGATAATCGTAATTCCCTGCGCGGAGGTCGTTTCCTTTACATGCACTTGGAGGTCCTGGCGAGTCCTCGAAACGGTCTGAAACGGTCTTATATCTTTGGGTCCGATTTTGGGTCCGGCGATAGTCCGGAATTCGGGCCCGGGAACGGCGCTATCACTCGGGGCCCGATACCGGTGCCCCTTTTAAGTGGCCATTTCTCTTGGGTGCACCTGCGAGTCCTCTTAAAAGCTCTCCCCGAGAAACAGAGAAGACGGGCGTGCTCCGAAACGCATTACGCGGCCCCGGGCCGCAAAAAGGCAGGGACAAGGCCCAAAAAGTGAAGAGCGGTAATGGAAGATAAGGCCGATAAGGGACTTTTAAACGAACGCAATCTAACGGCGCACTGCTCGAAACGATCCCTCTCCAATTTTTCACGCGAGGACCGATGTGGGGATTTCTCTGTGCCTTTCGAAATTGAAAAAACGGAATTTTCTCTCGGCTAAATCGGTTAATTAGAGAGAAGTAGGTGCATTAACCGGGGATCAGGGTTAAGCCTCCGTGTTAATAGACGAATTATGGCGGAGTCGGCGGCGCGCTCTTTCCCCGTCGATGTGTAAATTTGTTTTTTCACCAAATACACTCGGGCCATTTATTTACAGGGGCGCTTGACGCGGCGCGCGGACGCTCGTCCGGATAAATAAATATTGGCCGTCGAGAGCAAGCACCGCAAACAAATCCATTAATAACAGAAATTTAGCCAAATACAGGGTATGGAGGGGGAGAGCGGTCGGCCCTCGCGATCGCTCGGGCGTTCGGTGTCAATTTATGTCTGCGGCCGGGTTTAGCGTTACGCTAGAATAATTTAATAACGCTAATTCCCGCGATATGCGACGCACACCCGACCCGGCACGCATAACCCCGTAGTCCAAGTGCCACGAGCGGTGTGCGCAATTAGCAAAACTGTAATCAAATGTGCCCGCTTAATATCGGCCCGCCTCTCATTAGAGCGACCGAGTTGACAAACCCTCACCTGTCGTTCGATCTTCGACCGCGCGTTTTAAGAGACTCCTCTATGTCGGAATTAACATAATTAGCAACATTATCATCGGTACATAATGAATCCGTTGTCCGTTCGAGGCTCGCAGGAATTTTATATTCGACCCAGCCGGAACGGTTTCATAAATTTCTCAACGGCTGTTAAATTTTATACGACCCAGCCCCGATTACAGGGACCCGCGTCAGCGTTCGGTTTGCGGAATGATCGCGGAGGCGTCTCTTAAAGAGTTTCAAAGAGACCTTCGAAAGGATCGATGCGGCAGGACAGAAGTCCACGTCAGGTGGTCACAAAGAAACGCGTCGATCAAGATGGATCCTTCGAGTTCTCCTCCGGGACCCTAATCCCTCAAGGAGATCCATAAATCTAAAACTGATTACTTATAAAACCGGCCGCCCGCGATCTCGGATTTTAAAGACCCGTAAAAGTGTCTCCGTCTCGCCGAAACTTCAGGATTCTTTAAGGAGATTCATAAATCCCCGGAGTACAGTAGTAACGTTTACGACCCCCGATTTTAAGGTTCGGGAGATAATTGCAGAAACGTCTCGATAAGGGAGACGAGGGGGCGGAATTGGTCCACTTTCCTGATTCCTTTTCCCGAAAACCGTCCCAGGACTCCGCAGGAGAGAATAAGGGTTTGGCAAGGACCTACGGTATCCTTCCGATTCAGTATCTTCTCCTTTTTTGGGGGCGAGCTTCCCACGAAGGACCCTTGCATTAGGATGCATCCTCCGGCTGTGGCGAGGTGGATCGATCGTAAATCGGGTGGCAGGACCTCGTGGCTGGTGGGCTCTCCTAGGGATTTTCGACTTTAACGTCTCTTTCTCCCGAGCTATCTGCGTCCTCGTCGCTCTCACGTCGCGCCGCATCCGACCCTCTCCGTCCCTCCCGTGGCGAGCGCTCCTCCTCCGGAGCATTAGCCGCATTCGTCCGTGAGATCCCGCAGGAATCCGTGGAAGCTTTATGGCTCGAATCCTACTATCGTTTTAACGGCGAGGACTCCTCTCTCTCGTCCTCGTGAGTTAAGGACTGGTCTTAACGACTTCGTCGAACCGACATGTCCGATTTCATCTACCGGATATATCTTTGTTTCCCGATTCGGGCGAGATTGGGAGAATCCCTAACCGGACCCAGTTGAGGGAGAGCGGATAATAAATCACGAGTATCGCGGGGGGACGTAAGGAAACACTATTAACACGTCATGTCACCATGTTGGACGCCTCTGGACCACTTCTTGTGGCAGGATTCCATCGTCGAGGTCCTCTTCGGGAAGATCGACGAGATCGGTTGGCTCGTCTCTGGGACAGGGACGCGATCGAATCGTAATCCTATACAAACACGGGTATTTTTATCCCATTATGGGCGTACCCTGAACGGGCGGTATGTCGGCGACTTTGGTCGAGTCCACATAATGCATGGGTTCGTTGCATGGGTCCGTTGCATGGCGAGGGCAAGATGTCGAGGGGTTTTAAAGGCCTGCCGCCGGGGATGCCGGGGGTTCCTAGGTCCCTGGGCAGGTCCAGCCAGGGGTCCATGGTTGGGACCACACCCCCAGTCTGGACCCTCGAGCCTGGATCACCAGGGGGTCCACCTAACGATGATACAGCCCTTATGGCGGACCTCCTTTTTGGGGTTCCTGGTTCCCTACCGGCGCCGACCGGGTACCTGCGCTACACACGAAAACCGTGTCCTGCCGCAAGGATATTAATGCAAGATCGAGTCATTCCTTGGAATACGGGATAGCGACCATGCAGGTTAGGGTCGCGCCCAACAACACCTCTCCTGGGACCCCTGACTCACCTGGGGGGCGCTACCCCATCAAAGGGGTGACGTCTGCGCTCGGTGATTGCGCAATTGGATCGGATTTTTTTTTTTTCGAACGGATTACTCCTTTCTCTTTTTTAATGGGTAATGCGATTCCCGAGGGACGGTAGGAGAGAAAGGAACCGAGGTTCGGTGGTACTCGGTACCTCGGAATTCCTGGACCATGGCGTATCTCTCGGCAGGATCTGAAAGAATCGATCCCGAGTCCCTCGGCCCATCGTTAGCGGGTTTTATTTTTCGCCGGCTTCGACATATGTTTTCGTATCGTCCGGAATCTTCATCTTGCGTCGATCCTCCGGAGAGATACCGAGTCGAGAAGTAATTAATTGATTCCCCGATCTCTCTTGATCTCGTCTGGCCCTCTTGGAGGCTTCGTTAGGTGGAATTAATCCTCCGAGGCTTCGACTGGCGGAAGTCTCGAGAGGACACGTGTAACCACCAAACTTCCCGGGAATCGATCTAATTTACGGTAAGCCGTTGCACGCACGATGCCGGAGATTTGTCGTACAACTTATCGATACCATTAACCGCTATTAGCGATGCAGCCGAGTGGATCGGGGGAGATACCAAAGGAATCGCCTCCTGGAGTGCGAGGTCCACCGACGAGTGGGCGATGCTGCTCTCCTGCTCTTTCGATTAACCGCTCTTCCCGGAGTGAGAGGCACGAGTAATCGCTATCAAAAAGTCAAAGGGACCAAGGAACATTTTTACAATTTTTTCGATTTTATGCACTTTTTTGGGGATTTTGATTTGCACTTATTTCCCGGATCTTGACACAGTGGTGGATCTCGTACCAAAGAGATCCTCGTCATCGGAGTGCGAGGTCCAGAGAGTGGGCGATGCCGCTTTCTTGCTCGTTGGGTTAATAGGTATCCTCCAGAGACGGAGACTAAAAAGGAGAGAGGGGAAACGCGGTAATTTCAATAAACCTGCAAAGCGGCACAAAGAGGGACAGGAGTAATTTCAATAAAACGCCATAAGAAACGGGGTAGATACAACGGCCTGAGAATGAATGAATTTCGGAGTAAAAGATCTTCGACGCGTCCTTTGGAATTCCCAGCTTTCCCAGATCGTTCCCCGGAATTATCGTTTAATTCGATGAACCGAAGAGAAGGTATCCAGCCGCGGAAATCACGATTCCTGGCTTTCTGCACGACGGGAGAAATATTTTGAAATGGCCGAGGACTTTTTCCCGGAGTGTCTCTTCGGGGTCTCTTCGGGGTCCCTTCGAAAAATATGGTCCCCGGGGTCCGGGGACGCCCACGCCAAGACGCGTTTTCAGGGAACGATCTCCAGTTT